TAATAATAATAATAATAATAATAATAATAATAATAATAATAATAATAGGATGCAAATAGGGTAAATGAAAAACAGAATAATAGAGTTCAAAAGGACATTGGAGATTTTCTAGTCCAGTCCTCTGTTCAAACAGGAGACTCTATACCATTCCAGACAAGTGCCTGTCCGGCCTCTTTTTAAAAGCCTCCAGTGGTAAAGCACCCACAACTTCTGAAGACAAACTATTCCACTGGTTAATTGTCCTCACTGTTAGGAAAATTTCTCCTAAGTTGTTTCTCTCCTTGATTAGTTTCCATCATTTCTTGTCTTGCCTTCTGGTGCTTTAAAAAATAGGTTGACCTCTCTTCTTTGGGACAGCCCTTTATACGTTGGAACACTGCTATCATATCACTCCTGGTCCTTCTTTTCACTACATACTCAGTTCCTGCAACTGTTCTTTGTATGTTTTAGCCTCCAGACCATTAATCATCCTTGTTTCCCTTCTCTCTATTCTGTCTCAACATCTTTTTTATAATACAGTGATCAAAAACAGATGTAGTATGCTAAGTGCAGCCTTGCTAAGGCTTTATAAAGTGGTACTAATGCTTCATATAATGATTATGTTCCTCTGTTAATGCAACCTAGGATTGTATTGCCTTTTTTATGGCTGCCACACACTACTGCCTCATATTTAAGTGATTGTCCACTGCAAGATCCCTCTCATAGTTATTGCTATTGAGACAGGTTTCACCTAATCTGTACTTGTACATTTGTTTTTTCTTGCTCAAATGTAAAACCATATTTTTCTCTCTGTTGAATTTTATTTTATCAGATGGAGCCCAGTGTTCAAGTCTATAGAGATCCATCTGGATCTTAAGCCTATCTTCTGTGCTATTAGCTATTCCTGCCAGCTTAGTGTCTACAGATTTGATGAGTTTCCCTTCTATTTCCTTATCTAAATTTTTTATGAAGATATTGAGTCTTAGGCCTACAGTGGAACCTTGGTTACCCTACTGCTTACTTCCCTTGATGTAGATGTAGTTCCATTAAGAGCTACATGTGGTTTGTCAACCAGTTCCTTTGTCAAATAAAGGGTAGTACACTAGGGGGGAGAAGGAAAATGAAAGGAAGAAAGAAAACTTTAAGTATGTATGTATGTATGTGTGTATATATATATATATATATATATGTTTTCTTAAGTTTTCGCGGGTACTTACATGTATGGCATTCAGCTTTGTTCGGGTATTTTCCCACGTAGTTGTGCTTTTAAAGTTGTAACAACGTTTCGGCAGAATCTCATCTGCCATCATCAGGCTACCAGAACTATCGCCAAAACCGAACACTTCAACAGCAGAATAATCAGAGAAGCCATAGAGATAGAAAAACGCCCACACATCATGAACAAACGAGATGACACCTCCCGCCTTCCAGCCATTTGGAAACCCGCCCTCATGAACAGACGAGTACCTAACATGAA